ACTCAGCAAGTGTGCGGGATGCATAACCTATTGCTCGCATCTTACCAGACAACTCTTTGTAGCGAATTGCACCAAGACCTTGGATAACTTTAGTTGTAATAACTTAATCTCTTTAGTCAACTTTGTTCATTTGATATGTCATTTTCCTTTTTCTGTTGTGACTATAACTATCATGAAATAGCAAATTGTAAAATTGGCTGACATTTTCTTGCTTCTGTATCTGGTGAGTGTACCCAATAGCAGGGCTTAGGGACTTCCGGCGCCGTGTGTCATGTGACCCCAGGGGTGGATTGGCCATCGGGCTTACCGGGCAATGCCCGAAGGGCCGATGCCCATATTTGGGCCGGCCTGTGAGCCTCATAGAAAAATATATATTTGAGAAATGTGTAAATCTCTTAAGAAATGTTTGAGGGGCGCGCATGACTGCGGGGCTCTTGCTGTAGATTGCTGTATAAACTCAAAAGGGATTCCACATCCTCCGCAGCCTTTTGGAGCAGCTGCGGCCGCTTTGGACAGCGGTTCAAGCTGCCTGTGAGCCGCTTTGACAGCAACACGGGAGCGCGCAGCCGTAACGTTGCCTTGTACCGTAGACCTTATACAACCACAGGACCATACTGTGCTTGTTGTGTGCGTGACTTTGACTTACCAGTTCATGCAATAAATACTGTACAGCGCTGCAAGAAACAGTCCGCGTCTTCCCTGTGTCTCTTCCCAAAGCGCAACTAAACTCTCTAAATTAAAGCTGTTGTACGTAAACTTTTCTCTTCCATTAACAGTTCATGTGGTTGTGCCCAAATCTGTTGTGAACAAATCAAACAGATTTAATGACAGCCATTGGCTGACATTATACATTTCAGACTTCTTTGAAAGGTTCCAGTCTCATTCCCGTAACAAACAATATGGTGCTATGTTAATGGTGCATTTGACCCATCCAGATGCCGCGAAGGCTTACGTTAGCGCCCGGGAACCCATCTCCAGATGTTGATGCTCAGCTTGGTCAGGACTACCGGAGCTGGAGGATTTCACCAAGTGAGAATGTTTTTAGTGGTAGGGGAAACAGGAGTACCCGGAGGAAACCTACGCAGGTACGGGAGAACATGCAACATGCACTCAGAAAGACCCTGTTCCGACTGGGATTCGAACCCAGGACCTTCTTGCTGTTACGGCCACTACCAGGCCGTATAGCCTCTCCTCTCAGATGGGACCTGCGCTCATTGGTGCGTCAGACGGAGCCGCGCCTTTAAAGCTCTGGTGCAAGCCAGACATTCTTGTTGGCTCATTCCGCTCCCATCCTGCCACCTGCGTGCCCCGCCTCCTTCGGTTTGGTTCGTTTAGGTTGTGGTCTATTTTCTACACACTATTCAACACCGCAGACTTACCTTCACAGCACATACACTCGCACGCACTCACTACAGACTTACACACCCCATTAAAACATTAAGTTTGGTTATGAATAAACATTATTCCAATTGGCAACGGTTTGGCGTGTTTCTGTAATTTCTATTTGAGCCGAGTTATGAGTGAGAGGCGAGAGTGCTATCCACTCAGCCACCGTGTCGCCTATATGTTTGTCTCCCTCACTCTGTAGTGACATGTTTATTAATCTCAATGTAGATCATTGCACTTTATTATAATTGTTGAAACTGCATATACCCTGAGCCTCTACAATATATGGTTCTGCAAACTGTAAAAATAACCGTTAAAAGACACGGCCGGGTGGTCAAGGAGGCAAAAATGCCCGGGCCGGTTTATTGGTCTCAGTCCTGCCTTGTGTGACCCAGCATGACAGTCTATGCCAGTGACAGAAATAAATACATTTTGAAACCACATTTAAATGTACAGCACACAGTACAGCGGATGCTCTACCTCTGCGTGGCCGCAGAAGAAGGATTCTGCAAACGCAAACCAGGGGCGTGGGGGAGGGTCAGGGGGATCAAAACACAGCACTGGTGGCTGAATGTACCGGGGATTGAAACAGCCGCAGGTGACGCGGATGACACGGCAGACGTGGGGTACGCAGGTGACGCGGGAGAAGCCGCGGGAAAAGACACATGCTGTCACCTACAACAGCCGAGGCTGTTTCACTAATCCATTTAGTTTGATCCATTGTTGTGTCAAAAATAAACCATGGTACAGGTGCAATCGCCGGTAGCCCTGCATGTGTATTCACTATTTTAGTGAATACGCTATGGGTACCACGCGTAGGCTGTAGGAAGATGTACTCCCATCAGGCCAGCGTAGAGTGATTGGAGCCCTGCCCGAGATTCCCCCAATACCCCCAAGGTGAGCGGGCTCAGGGCAGGAAAGGAAGCATAAGCAGTGATACAGGGACGCCTTTACTAAGAGCTCCTGAAGGGGACAGCAACACGCCGCCCTCGGGGAACCAAGGGCAGGCCAGAACCCCGGGACGCCTCTACCAAGAGCTCCTGAATGGGGCGGCCACACATAACACCAAACCGCAGTCTGCCTCTACCAAGAGCACCTCGTGGTCCACCTCAAATCCCAGAGTTCAGAACGTAGTGTGCAACTGACCGTTCTGATACGTCCAACAGGTACGACTGGGCAAAGGAAGAAAACGAAGCCCAGGACACCCAGTGCGCCAAGCTCTGAGAAGTAAGCGGGGCGCCCCAGTTCCTAGGACCCAAGTACACAGACAGCTGATCAGAAAGCCTCAAGTCTCAACATTCTGATCGGGCACAAAAGATGCCGCCGTTCCCACTCCTCCGAGGAATGAGGCGGCATATAAAAGGGTCTAATCCTGATTACCCTAGACCTAAGGGCCGAAGTAACGACTTTAGGGAGAAAGGCAGGATTGGGCCAGAGCTCAGCACCAAAGGACAGACAGGCCAGACAAATCACCCGCTCTCTTTTTGTTGAAGCAAAGCCAACAAGAGGGCGGTTATGAAAGCCACACATTTCTGGCTAGCCTGAGCCGCCGGCTCAAAAGGTGGCCCCGATAGGCCCCTCAGAACCACCTTCAGTTCCCAGACTGGAGGCGTTCTCTTAAGGAGGGGCCTCTTCCTGCGGGCCCCCCGAAGGAGGCGTTTGACTAACGGGTGGGAGCGGGCCAAAAAACCCCCGAACCCACCGTGACCCGAGGAAATTGCTGCCGCAAATACCGCCAGGGTACCGGCAGCACTCCCCTTCTCGGGCAGCTCTTGCTGGAACCCCAGGACCCTTCCAGAGAGCAGGACACGGGGTCCCAGGAACGCTCCGCGCACCAGTCACTGAAAACCTTCCACCTGCAGCCGTAGGCTCTGATCGTGGAAGGACCCTCTCCCCCTGGATCGACGGGGGGAGATCCAGGTCTACAAGGCTCTACCTCTCAGCCTCCAGACCCAGAGTCTGTGATCCAGCACTGGGCGTGAGTGAAGCTGGGAGCAGTCAACGCCTCCCTGGCCAGGCGGGTGACGTTTCCTCGCCTGTCCTCGGATAATGCAGCTCGGAATCCCAACGAGTCCAGCTGCATCCCCAGATACATCATACGCTGAACAGGCTGCAGCCTGCTCTTCTCCCTGTTCACCACAAAGCTCAGGCGCTGTAAGTAAGACAGGACCCAGCGCGTGTGACTCTCGGTCACCTCCCTGGACGGGGCCAGAATTAATCAATCGTCTATGTAGGATAAAACCTGACCTCTGCGCGTCTGAGTGGCTCCAAGGCCGCCTCCACGCATTTGGAGAAGGTGCGGGGAGCAGCGCATACCTGAATGGGAGACGGCCATACTCGTAGCACTCTCCCCCCCACGGCGAAGTGCAGGAACCGCCTGTGAGCCAGCAGGTCACCAGGGCTATCAGAGTTGCACTGAGTGCGAGACACCATCTACTCACCGCGTCCTCGAGGCCCGGGACTCCACTGGACCAAGATCAGTGGCTCATTCTGCTCCCATCCTGCCACCTGCGTGCCCCGCCTCCTTTGGTTTGGTTTGCTCTGGTTGGGTTTGGTTAGTTTTGGTTAGTTTAGGTTGTGGTCTATTTTCTACACACTATTCAACACGGCAGACTTACCTTCACAGCACATACACTCGCACGCGGCCACTACAGACTTACACACCCCATTAAAACATTAAGTTTGGTTATTAATAAACATTATTCCAATTGGCAACGGTTTGGCGTGTTTCTGTCATTTCTATTTGAGCCGAGTACTTCTAAGAGTACGTCAAGATTCGAAGAATTTTCTTAGAATTTGGCCACTAGGAGCATTTCTTAGCACTAAGAATCTTTAGGAATACGGCCCCAGGTCATTATCTGAAAACTTAAAGTTTGACACAATTGGTAGTTTTAAACAGTATCGAATCTTGTGTTAACCCTCTGTGCCTAGAGGGTTAACACAGGACAAAGACAGCCCAAGTTGTGCTGTCAGCACAAGGAAACAAGTTGTTCAACACAAGCAGGTTGTGCTGCCAGCACAAGGAAAGGATTAGTTTCCTTGTGCTGGCAGCCAGGTACATTTTTCTGGCCCGACATGTAAAAAGACATTCACCTAAAAAAACAAGTCACCAAACAAGTTCGCTATGACTGGTATCATCAAAACGCAACTGTTTGAACTTGTGTCTATAGATTTCTTTCCTGTTGATACATGTTCTGGAGGAGTATAAATGGGTTTTTATGGATAATTTTAGTGGGTATACACAACCCTGTCACATCGTCAAAATTAGGAAAGACAGTTGCAGACAAAACATGTGCAAGTATAAATAATTTGGTGAGCTCCAATTTAAAGCTGAGTTAATTACTTGCATTTCTCCTATTGGAAAAACAACGTTAACTTTACTCTGCTTCAGTGGTGATGGGTGATTCAGTGGTGAGTTGAACAGTGGGTTATTCACCATTTACACATGTCATTAAATAATTGCCATATCAGCAGAGTTGGTTTCCATGGCTCCTCCTCTTTTCTCATGTGGGTGTGTTTTGTGGATAATGCAAAGCACAGACTGCATTCTCTGTCGCACATTCTGCACTTCCTTCATTATCAAAGACAGAGTCGAAGCCTCTGAGGTTTCTAAGATGGGTGAGTACTGCTGTTATGAAAGCTCTTTTTAACTTGCTCACTAAATTACATGTAATCATGTATTTCTGAAAATTATGAACTAATACATGTAAGTACATTTATTCCAGTCAGCAGTTTTTATGTTGTTATTACAGATTCTTGGGTTTAATTTAGAAAGTAAATTAATTTATTACTAGGGCTGGGACTCGATGAAAAAAATTAATCTAATTAATTAAAGGCTTTGTGATTAATTAATCGCAATTAAACACATGTAAATATTTGTCCTGAGAACAGTGAGAAGTAATTTTTTTTCACATGGATTTTTAGTTTACCATTGAATAATGACTGAATAGATAAGCTTAAGCAACACACGTTCATTGAGGATGATCAGATAGACTTCTTTCAATCAAATAACGTTTCTGTCATCGCCTCCACACACTCTGACAACAACATACACTTTGTAACCAAAATCCACTGCACTCGAAGTGAGCACTAAAGCTTATAACACGTTTGTGCATTCTAACTAAAACATCAACAATAGCAGCTCACACACCTGTGTCGCTGCTGCTCCTCCTCCTTCTCTGAGGAGTCGCTTGCTGCTGCTCCTCCTCCTTCTCTGAGGAGTCGCTTGCTGCTGCTCCTCCTCCTTCTCCTTCTCTGAGGAGTCGCTTGCTGCTGCTCCTCCTCCTTCTCCTTCTCTGAGGAGTCACTTGCTGCTGCTCCTCCTCCTTCTCCTTCTCTGAGGAGTCGCTTGCTGCTGCTCCTCCTCCTTCTCTGAGGAGTCACTTGCTGCTGCTCCTCCTCCTTCTCCTTCTCTGAGGAGTCGCTTGCTGCTGCTCCTCCTCCTTCTCTGAGGAGTCGCTTGCTGCTGCTCCTCCTCATTCTCTGAGGAGTCGCTTGCTGCTGCTCCTCCTCCTTCTCTGAGGAGTCGCTTGCTGCTGCTCCTCCTCCTTCTCTGAGGAGTCGCTTGCTGCTGCTCCTCCTCCTTCTCTGAGGAGTCGCTTGCTGCTGCTCCTCCTCACACACCATAGCTCCATACACAGCGCTCTTTCCCGTCTCTAACCATTGATCTAATTCACTCAGATTTAGACACCGCTAGAGTTGGTCTATGCTTCTTATTAGGGGTCGGCGATATGGCCTAAAATTCATATTGCGGTATAATTTGGGACAGAGACGGTAGACGGTATATACAGTAGGTCCCATTTCGTTTTGTCGCCTTTCACGCGTGAATAGCACGAGACTCACGTGTGAAACACGCGTCTTATTTTTTTTCCCCCCAGTGATGCTGCAATGACCCAAACAACCACCAGGTGGCACTTGTGAGCAGGGTTAGGAACATTGGCTTCTCACCGCTCATTCTTCTCTCTTCACCAGACAACTTTCTGTGGCTTTATAGCTCAATGATAAGGAGCTAGACTCTGGTGCGAGAGGACTCGGGTTCAAGTACAGTCTATGACACTTTTGATTTTGTTGACGTTTAAATTTTTTCAAAAACATACTTAGTAATTAGGCCAACACATTTAAAAATAGTTGCTGTCACACATGGCTGGGGTCATTAACGCACGGGTTGCCACTATTCATTCTATTACTATTACTATTACTATTCATATTCCTGGAACATTTTTCATTTCCTCTATAACAGCCATTCATGTCATTGATGGCCTAATAATAGTGTAGTAGCCTACATAGAATAAAATATATGCAGCATAATATGAATTAATACATATTTATATAAATATTGCATTAATTATGAGGCAGGGTGACCAATAGTGACAGATTTGCCAGCCAATCACAAAAGATTATACTTATTTGAAAGTAGTGATTTCATCCAATGGGGAGTAATCCCACGTGGGCTGGCCACGTGTGATTTTTCAGCCAATCACGAGTTTGAAAGTAGTGGTATCCGCCAATGGTGAATAGTTCTGAAGCAGCCTGGCCAGCCGCTGCATTCATATGCTAATTAGGGCCATTAGCGCTCGGCCGGCCGCAGTGTTTCGCTGCATTCATATGCAAAGTAGGGACATTAGCATGGTACGGATGCGGCAGTTTGGAGGACAGGGCACCCTAACTGCGCCTTCTGAAAACTGCCTGAGATACCCAAAAAAGAGCGTGATTTCCTGCCGTTTAGGGTGACGAAAATCTAACTTTTCATGCAGTGCCTTATACTGTAGTCGCTCATACAGACTCCAAACTTTCCAGTCTTGGACGTAACAATATTTAGAAGGTTTTTTCAGAGGGATTTTTTAATAGCCTAGCCTGATTTATTCAGCTTTGAACCCAAAAAAACAGGCGGAATTGGAGTTTTTACAGATTTGTTCATTATGATTAGTCAATTGAAAAACTAAACAATATATCCAAAATCCCATCTGCTAAAATCTTAGTTACTAATATGTCAATAAAATGAAACCATACATTTTAATCTGGCGCAATCCATAATTTTTATTCCTGCCGTAAATTCTGTCAGAATTTCCCTGCCCCAGAAGCTGCAGAGAGGCCGCAAACACAGCAGCCCGTTTCGTTCTGCAGGTCCTTTTAGTTCAACAAGAGACAAAAACCAATGTTAAAACAGTAAATAGAAATGACAGATACCAAACCTGATTTCAAAAGGTTATATTGAAGATTTGCAAGCAATATTACAATATTAACGGTCTGCGAACACAAGTCTCGCTTCGCGTCCAAGATAAGGAGTGGCCTCGGGGACGTCTCACTGCTCCTTGTCAGAAGAAAAAGCAAAAAGTTTCCGTGACCACTTCTGCACATGCATTTATACTTTACATCCAAGGTCAATGACATCACAACTGTATGGACTCCACGACTCCTTCTGGCCAGCTGCCAACGTTTGCACCTGCTCTGATAACCACTCTTGTCTCCCTCTTGTCTCCCTCCCATTTCACACAGACTAACCTTGAACTCACTGCTCTTTGAGATTTACACAAACAAGTGCTAATTTGGCAACAGAAACAATACTAAACTGATTTTAGTTTTAACTGGTGCAGGAGTTAATATTCCAACATTCCGTTGCCCAAAATATAGGCAATTTTGGCCATTTTTATGAACAACATGTCTTACTTTTTATATGGAAACATAAAATGACAGAACATTTTCTGTTCACCTGCCTTAAGCTTTTGTTAAAGCGGAGATAATACGAAGGACATGAGGTTCCTTTTAATGTTCGTATGATTGAGGCTGGTTCGATCTACTGGACGTTTGGGTAAGGCAAGCGCACAAGTTAAAGCTGCCTAGGAACTGAACTGTATTGAACTAGATTGACCAGGGCTCGAGTCCACAGGAATGTCGAAAATCCAGTTTATCTTGAAGCACCAGTGAAGCACCCGGTCAAAATGCATGTTTGCTGCTGGCTATCCCATACTGTAGAAGAAGTCAGAAAGGAACTTTTGAGAAGAAGTTTTTTTATTAAAAAATAAGAAGTAAAAATAAGTAATAAAGTAAATTAAAGCCGCAAGCGGCGTCGAATGGCCCTCGCCGCACCGCGCGACTCCCTGCACCGCGCGCACCACCCCGTGCCAAGCCACCCCGCACCACGCCGCACTGCACCACGCCGTCCCGCACCACGCCGCCCCGGACCAAGCCGCAACGCGCCGCTCCACAACGCCCAGCACTACGCCGCACCACACCGTACCACGCAGCACCGCTCAAAGGAGGTGGCGCCGCTGTGTGATGATTTGTTCCCGTAGCCATAGAAGATTGTTAGTCAAATTGTAATGAATATGATAAGTAGAGCTGGTTTGGCTCCCCATGTAAACTTTGACTCAGTCTTTAGGGGGCGCTAATGGGCCAATTTCAGATATTTCACTTTCACCTGACCTAAACCCTGGAGTTGCACAATGGGTTCAAGTTTAATGCAAATCAGACTTTGTATGTGCAAAAAGGAAAAAAATGAATGTTATCAAAAACTGCCAAAAAATACCTCACATTTTGCCGCTCCGCTGCTCAAACAACGTTTTACTGATTAAAATTCCCTGAAGTCATTTTGATGGTACATGTGTTGAGATAATGTGGAGCGATTTTGAGGCGAATCGGTGAAACGGCCGAGGCTGGTTTGATGTTTGTGTGAGGTGTACATTTGCAATGAATGGGGAGCGTTTCTCGTCGCCACGGCAACAGGGTAAAAAATAAGCCTTGGACCCTATTGACTTTTTGAATCAAGAGGGCAAAACAGATTTATGTGCAAAATTTCAAACATTTTGAAAAAACTAAATTTGAAAATGCCCATCTAAAACTTTGAAATAGTCTGTAGGGGGCGCTAATGTGTCAATTTGAATTAATTCACTTTCAAATGACCTAGACCCTAGAGTTGAACAATGTATTAAAATTTGGTGTTAAATCAGACTTTGTTTGTGCAAATGGGAGCAAATTTAATGTTGTCAAAAACGGCCAAAAAAAGGTCACATTTTGCCGCTCCGCTGCTCAAACAATGTTTCACTGATCAAAAATCCCTGAGGTCATTTTGAAGGTATATGTGTTGAGATGATGTGGAGCGATTTTGAGGCGAATCGGTGAAACGGCCCGAGGAGGAGTCGCTTTCCAACCGACATGTATGAAAACTTTTGCTGTTCATTTTTCCATTTTGCAGTAAATTTATGGGCTTCCTGTTTGTCAGAGGGCGGAGCCATAATAATATTTTTTTCTTGTCTTGACTTGAGGAACATGTGTACCAAATCTCATGTTTCTACGACAAACTTGACCTCCGAAAAGTCCCATAGGGGTATTATTTTGGCTGTTGTAGGTGTGAGTAGCTGTTGAGTTCCATAAAAATAAACACAAAAATATCAAATTTTTCGCCAGGTCTGATTTTTGGGCCAAAATTAACAACTTTTCATGCATGTTCAGGGGGTCAAATTAAGGCTCAAAGTGCAGAAGAAAAAAGAAAAGAAATAAATAAAAAAGGATTTTTTTTTTAACGTCTCGAGCAAAAACAATATAGGTTTCAATGGCATGTGATACATCATTTTAAAGCTTTTGAGTTTACGCACGCAACCGTCACGTTTTGGTGAGTGAACGGGCGCTGACGCGTCCGTCACGCACCGCCACCATTTGTTTTCACCATTGTGAAAGCAATAGGCCCTTACCCCGTTCGGGGCTCGGGCCTAAACAATCGTATTGTTACAGTACTTACAATACAGTGCAGTAAGTTAGTACAGTGTTTTACAGAGTCAATCCTTTGACTTTAAACCGCGTTTTGATAGGCCCGAAGTGAGCAACAAACCTCACTGCACGTCACTGGGTGGGGGTGGGGGATGGGGGGTGGGGGATGTGGCACAGTCTTGTTTGTCAAACGGTCGCTATTGTAAAACACACAACTCACACTGAGAGAGGGATTCAGACTGCAGACATCACTTAAGTCCAAACTTTAGCAGGACTTACAAAAGGCGACGTGACGCCGCCCCGCGCGTGTGATGCATTGTTTACTTTTTACTCCACAAACCCAGCGTTCACTCTATCTACCATAAAACCGAAACATATGAGTCGGATTGTTCTCAAATAAAAAATGACTTAAAGCTAGAGATGCGCTGATTATATTCATGGATGAGTCTTAGTCTGTAGAGTTCTTAGTTTTGTGTAAACAGCAGGTTTGTCCTTCGCACACACCTCTCTCTCTCTCTCTCTCTCTCTCTCTCTCTCTCTCTCTCTCTCTTCTCTCTCTCTCTCTCTCATCTCTCTCTCTCTCTCTCTCTCTCTCTCTCTCTCTCTCTCTTCTCTCTTCTTCTCTCTCTCTCTCTCTCTCTCTCTCATCTCTCCATCTCTCTCATCTCTCTCTCTCTCTCTCTCTCTCGCTCTCTCTCTCTCTCTCTCAGGTGAGTGTAGCGCAAGACCGGTGCACGTGGAGCTTGATAAACATGTAAACTTTAAATACAATTGGAATTCAACTCCACAATCAGCAATGACAATTTTACAACATGACATTTCCTTTTGACAAGGAAATAAGATAACAAGCTGATAACGTTACGTAATTGCACACAAGCAACCAAAAGGTGTGCAACCAAAACTGCCTCAGACAAGAATCGAACCCCGGGTCCTAACCTGCAACGCTAACCATTTGGCCAACACAGTATCACTAGGCAAAACAAGTTATACACTCACTGGCCGCTTTATTATTATATTAATTCCTAATCAGCCAACATGACAGAAATACCAATGCATTTAGGTATGTAAGACATGGTCAAAATCATCAGACAGGTTTTGAGTATTCCAAGACTGATGATCTACTGAGATTTTCACACACAAAATCTCTGGGGTTTACAGAGAATGGTCCGAAAAAGAAAAAATATCCAGTGAGCTGCAGTTATCGTTTCCTTCTGCGGGCATAAAATGCCTTGTTGAGGCCCGAGATTCAGAGGTGAATGGCAGAACAAGAGACTGGTTCGAGCTGAATATATCTATATGCCACATTTTACAAATATCGCTTACCCAAATATAGATAATAAAGTTACTCAGCCAACATTTTAGTTGGGATAGATTGTTGGCATTACCACCCGCTAAAATGTATTAGCTAGTGGGCTAAGACATGGGTCTATGCATGTAGCTGTTGATGCACATCCAATGCTGGACAGTAGTGATGACAGATCAATCTCGTAACACATAGTGTCCTGTTTCAAATGTTTCGAAGCCTCTGAACTAGCTCAGATTAGCTTGTAGCGCTGACATCTAGCAGGAAAATGTAATCATTGCAGCTTCTGAATAGCAATTGTTGATATTGTGGTTTCATATTCACATCCTTTCATCTTTGGACATAACATAGAATGGCTCTCTATTATTCGACTGCAGCAGAACATGGGTTTTTAAAAAGCCTTTAATGACAACGGCATGTTGAGAAAAAAATATTTAATTAAAGTAATGAAAACATTGACGCCTTACTTACTTGCCAATGAGCAAGTTTTGCATCAGACGGAAAGTTCTTCTCTGCCTTCAATTGTCTCAAAAGCAAAGGCATCTCCAATAGAAATCCTTTTTTTATTAGGCCCGAGCCCCGAACGGGCCTATTGTTTTTGCTCGAGAGATGTCAAATTCTGCACTTTGAGCCTTAATTTCACCCCCTGAACATGCATGAAAAGTTGTAAAATTTTGACCAAACATCAGACCTGGTGAAAAATTTGATATTTTGGTGTTTATTTTTATGGGACTCAAAAAATGCCAGAACAGCGCCACCTACAACAGCCAATGGGAGTTTCAGAGGTCAAGTTTGTCGTAGAGCCATGAAATTCGGTACACATGTTCCTCAAGTCAAGATACGACCGAAATGTTACCATGGCTCCGCCCTCTGACAAACAGGAGGCCCATAAATTTCACTGCAAAATGGAAAAATGATCCGCAATCATTTTCATACATGTCGGTTGGAAAGCGACTCCTCCTCGGCCGTTTTACCGATTGGCCTCCATATCACTCCACATTGTCTAAACACATGTACCATCAAAATGACCTCAGGGATTTTTGATCAGTGAAACGTTGTTTGAGCAGCGGAGCGGCAAAATGTGAGTGTTTATTGGCCGTTTTTCACAACCTTCTATTTGCTCCCGTTTACACATACAAATTCCGATTTGCACAAAACTTGAATCCATGGTTCAACTCTAGGGTCTAGGTCATTTGAAAGTGAAATATTTGAACTTGGCTCATTAACGCCCCCTACAGACTATTTCAAAGTTTTATATGGGTATTTTAAAATTTCGTTTTTTCAAAATGTTTGAAATTTTGCACACATAAATCTGTTTTGCCCTCTTGATTCAAAAAGTCAAAAGGACCAAAGGCTTATTTTTTACCCTGTTGCCGTGGCGACGACAAACCCTCCCCATTCATTGTCTATGGCAAATGTACACCTCGCACAAACGTCAAACCAGCCTCGGCCGTTTCACCGAGTCGCCTCAAAATCGCTCCACATCATCTCAACACATGTACCATCAAAATGACTTCAGGGAATTTTGATCAGTGAAACGTTGTTTGAGCAGCGGAGCGGCAAAATGTAACCTTTTTTCTCCATTTTGAAGATAGAAACATAGCTCCTTTTGCACAAACCAAGTCCGATTTGCACCAAATTTGAATCGGTTGTTCTACTCATGGGCCTAGGTTTGGGTAAACTGAAAGTGTAAAACATGAAATTGCAGCATTAGCGCCCCCTACAGACTGAGTCAAGTTTTACATGGGTGAGAATGGCATTTACTAAGTGTGATTTGCACTAAACTTGACTCAGTCGTTCTACTCATGGGCCTAGGTCGCCTGAAAGTGTGAACAATTACATTGTCCCATTAGCGCCCCCTACAGGCTGAGTAAAACTTTTACATAGGGGACACAGCGCATGGTGGCGTGGTTAGTGGTGGCGTGTGAGGCGGTGGCGTGTGAGGCGGTGTTGTGTGAGGCGGCGCGGTGTGAGGCAGCGTGGTGCGAGGCAGCGTGGTGCGAGGCAGCGTGGTGCGGCGTGGTGTGAGGTGGTGTGGAGCGGAGAGTTGTGCGGTGCGGGGAGTTGCGCGGGGCGTCGAGGGCCGTTTGACGCCGCTTGTTTTCTCATTAAAGAAGTATTCAAAGAGACCATGATTTATTAATGCCGTGTGACATATTAGGACCCTTTAATGATGACTTGACATGCCAATCTTACATATAGCTAATTTAAGATTCAAAGAGCAATATTTGACAATAAAACTAAAAACAAATCTGTTTGAAGCAGCAAAAAATAAACAGCCTTATATAAGATGTATATATGAAGGCTAAACTGGCTGTACGTTAACACACTTTTGAATGCGCTGGAAACAAGTCCATGGTTCACGGACCGAACCAAGCAGATCAAGCAGAGATCCACTCAAAAAATGCTAACAAAGCAGTCAGCATTTCACTCTGGACTAGAGTAGAGAAAATTATACAAACCAAGCGGCTACACCGCCTCTGCTGCTGTGACAAATAGATTATAGTGAATAGAAAAATAAATAGATAATAGATTTATCTATTTATATTTTTTGTTTGTATGTTTCTGCTGCTACTGGACACAAGAAATTCTACGGGGATCAATAAAGTATCTATCTATCCATGGGTTGGTGTAAACAAGGACCGCTGATCGTCTCTTGCGGCTGTACTTTGTTACGATATGTTATTAATTATCCTCCCCCCAATCCAGGGAAGGAAAGCAGCTCTTCACAAGTAAATATAAGTACTGGAATTCCTGAACTATATTTTCAGTAGCAATAATTAGTAATGTATTAATTACATTACTCTTGCAGTTGCAGTCCAACAAAGCCCGAGGTGAGTTGCACCTGTGATGCAAAGAGCCAAGGTTCATGATTCATAATTATTGTGTTAATAATTGTGGGCGACAGTAGCTCAGTTGGTAGAGCATTGGCCTTAAGGCCAGAAGGTCGTGGGTTCACTTCCCACCTCTGCACCTTCTCCATCGACTCCCACTGATGACTGCTGTCGTTGTGTCCTTGGACACTTAACCCCGCTTTGCCCAAAGCCCCCACTGAAAGATCAAGGCTATGCTCACACTCAGAGAGCAGCCGTCCTCCTGTGGACTCACCACCTGCAGAGGGTCAGTGAGGGGCTGGTGCTATGAGACCCAGACCCCCTGACCCAGAAATGGATTAAAGGGTAGAAAATGGATGGATGGATGTGTTAATAATGTGTTATATCATCCATCTTCAGGCGACATCTTCTCAGCTTGCTTAAATGGAGCTGACCGGCAGCTGACCACTCAGGGCATCACACCTACAGGTGAGTTGCACCTGTGATGCAAAGAGCCAAGGTTCATGATTCATAATTATTGTGTTAATAATGTGTTATATCATCCATCTTCAGAGCAGAAGCCAGTGAAGGTGTTCTCCATCATCTCAGCTCAGTCATATAGAGCTGACCGGCAGATCTTGGACCAGCTGACCGCTCAGGGCATCACACCTACAGATGATCCACACCAGAGCGATGTCATTCTGCTGTTTTGTCCAATCCTGACACGAATCGCATCTGACCTTGATGCAGCCGTCAGAAATATTCCAGGTTTGCTTTTCACACTGACACAAATCAAGTTTTGATGATTTCCTTCTGAGTCAAAGTAACTACATGAACACAAAAGACAGTGGCTCAATCATTCAGACATGTGCATTTAAACTTTGAATACAATGTTTGAAATCAGAAAATCACCATTGCATGTTTCCCTCTTTCATCATCTATTACCCATTTTACATTTCCTATGAATTTCACCATCACTTCCCCCCTACCGGCTCCAGGTAACCCTTGTGTGTACTATCTAAAATTGATAAAGGGCATCCAGTGAATGAATTTGTAGCTTTATAAAATTTGGGATAAAATTTGAGGGATCCCTTGCGTCCCTCTTGCTCAGCCTCTCTATTTATCTTCTTCTGCTTTGGTCCCCAAACTGGACGCCCTATTGCCCCTGGCTGTGCTTATAAATTCTGTTCATGAAAAAAGTGAACAGAACTGGTGACAAAGGGCAGCCTTGGCTGAGGCCAGCATGCACTTGCAACAGGTTTGACTTTCTGCCGGCGATGCGAACGCAGATCTGACTCCGGCCATACAGAGACCGTACAGCCCTCAGCAGAGGACCCCGTACTCCCCGGACAACCCCCCAAAGAACACAGTTAGATGTCCATCCATCCATCCATTTTCTTCCCCTTAATCCATTTCTGGGTCGGGGGGGTGGCAGTTAGAGCTGCACCCAGTACACATAGCACCGGCCCCTCACTGATCCTCCTGCAGGTGGTGAGTCCACAGGAGCTCAACAGTTAAATGTCTCGTCTACAAATCCACAAAGCACATGTGGACAGGTTGGACAAAATCCCATGATGCCTTGAGTCCAGTGTCTGGGACAAAAACCACACTGTTCCTCCTGAATCCGAGATTCGACGATCAGTCAGAGTCTCCTCTCCAGTACCTTGGAGTATACCTGACCGGCTGAGGAGTGTGGTCCCATAACATTTGGACCTCACCCTCCAGTCCCCCTTCTTGAAGACAGTGACCACCGCTCCGGTCTGCCTCTCCATTGGCACTAACCCTGATACAGCCGCTATGTAATGTAATTTTCTCCTCATAGATGATACTCAGCCAGGTGAAGAACATACTGTAGTAAGTAATTGGGGTGAAAAACCATTCAAACAATTCATTCATTTAGGCTTATCTCATATAGATCACTGTTTTGAATTGTGTTTAGCTACTCTTAACTATGCATGTTCAGGTTCAAATATAAAAAGATGTCAACATTTTCTAGGGAGCAATTTTATGTCGGTTTGCTTCGAAAAAAACGCAAATTACTCACAAGTGAGACTTTTGTGCATGCCTTCAGGTGAAAACATTTTCCCAAGGCGGCACAATAACAATATTAATCTGAAACCACAGAAAACATTACATGATCCATGATTTTATAGTAGTCTGTCTCAATATATATTATCATGTGTTCACAGATGGAGCAAAAGGCAAACCTGTGGTGTTGGTTCTGATGCATCACACTTTTGACCCAAACGAAGTCCTGGACAGAACCTGCTGGAGCGCACAGCATCCCTGTTTAAAGGAGGAAGTGCGTGTGCTTTTCCATCAGACTTCAGGACTTCTGCAGTGCGACAGGAACAAGGAGGCGGTGCGGACCCTCAAGACCCTCTGTGACCAGTATGCAACACCAGGTAAAAAACACTTTTTGTTAAAGATCAACTATGAAACACTAGAAAAACCGGTAACACTGTTTGCTTTTAAATCATTTATAAATCATTGACTACTAGTTAATAAAACATTAACTTATGTCTTATTTATATGAAAAAATAATCATCTAAACATTAACAACTCATTAACAAGTGTTATTTGGACTTCCTGCTTAGCGGACCGTGTAACAACACGTGTGACGCGCAGCTCCTGCAGTTTTGTTATTATCCATTACTTTTGGCACGTTTTTCTAACTTTTTATAGTGGGACCTAGTACTCTAATCTACAATCGTCTGCTCGCTAACTTTGCGTACGATTTCAAAAATGCCTAAAGGTAGTAAGAGCGCAAGCGCCCCTCTGCTAACACCACGGGCTGGTGCTACCTCCGCATCCCCGCCCCCCGAGTGGACCATCAGGGCCGTGGCCTGCACTTGGCGAGCCACTAGCCGAATCTGACGCTAACACCATCAAGACGGATATACTTTCTGCTCTTCGTGAGGAAATCAAGACTATGTTTAAGTCCGAACTACATGCAGCTCTTGGGGAAAACCTTACGTCGATTAAGTCGGAATTGCTTCATTTCAAGGCAGAAATTTCGTCTAACATTACTATGATGAAGCAAGAGTTTGCGGGGCTAAAGGGCACTATTGTGGACATGGAACAGTCGCTTTCCGCGTGCACAGATGACATCACCATTCTTCGCTCCCAGGTGGAAAACATGGCTAAAGAAATGGTCAAGTTGGAGAACAAATGCGAGGACTTGGAATCACGATCGCGTAGGAACAATATTCGCATTATAGTGGTCTCCGAGGACCATACCCCATCTTGTGAATATGTAGCTAGCCTTTTGACGGAGGCTTTTACGCTAGCCAATCAGCCACTTGTGGATGGCGCACATCGCTCACTGGCCCCCAAACCTGGACCGGGATAACGTGTTGCGAGGCTTTATTATTACTCAGACTGTGCCAATATCCTCCGGAGAGCCAAGGAGTTACAGAAGATGAGGGTAAGAGATATGTCCATCTCAATCTTCCCCGACTACACCGCGAAGACCGCCCGTGCCCGCGCTGCATTTAATGATGTTCGTCGCCAGTTACGGGACATTGAGGGAGTCCGGTTCGGCATTCTGCATCCAGGCAAGCTGCGCATTACGTACAGAGGGGTGCAGCGGGATTTCACCTCGCCAGAGAAAGCCAAGATCTACATAAAGACAATCGAATCACTACCTCCAGAAAAGTAATGCCTCTTTGTTTGTAAACTAAGATGCTGGTCTTTGGTGAGTTATGACTGATGTTATTTGGCTACTATATCTCCACAATTTATATTTATATTGAGATATTGTTGTTTTTGAACTACTGAATCAAACTTGAGGAATAACACTGGTATTTTTTGTTTTTCTTCCTTATTTTTTGAGGCCAGGTCAAGGATGTAATCCATATGCGCCATCTATGTTTACGTATTGTTCTGCAGGAGCGACTGTGTTCAGCTGGTTATTGTTTTTCTATACAGTCGGAAGCTGTCCTTTTTTCTTTGCACTGCCGTCTCTATCGTTTGGGGATGGGACGTTTGCTGTGCGGGTGGGACAAGGGAGGGTACGGGTTGAACAGGGTTATTATTATTATTAATCTGTATTTGTATTTTTATTTCACTTTTTATTTTTTTTGCCCCCCTCCCTTTTTATATATTTACATACCTTTGGGGACAATGTGGAAAACCTAAAGTCTAAAGATGACTAACTTTTCAAATCATGATATTAGGTTTTTGACTTGGAATGTGAAAGGTATAAATAACCCCATTAAACGTTCGAAAGTGATTACACATTTAAAACTCCTTAAAAGTGATGTAATGTTTCTTCAGGAAACTCATTTGCGTGACAGGGATCATGTGAGGCTCAGATGTCCATGGGTGGAACATGTATTTCATTCTACTTTTAATTCAAAGGCTAGAGGTGTGGCCATTTTGATTAGCAAAAAAGTACAAATTGAAATGTCAAATTTAATAGCAGATAAGAATGGGAGGTACTTGATTGTTGCTGGTAATATACATGGCTACCCTGTAATATTAGTTAATGTGTATGCTCCCAACTTTGACAACCCCAGATTTACCGATTAATTATTAAGTGGACTTCCTTCCCTTGATACTCACCTTTTAATATTTGCTGGAGACCTAAACTGTGTCATTGATCCTTTATTGGATCGCTCAACTCCTAAGACCATGATTTCATCATCTATGTCTAAATCTGTCTCAGAATTCACGTTGCGAAATAGATGTGCAGACCCTTGGAGGTTTTATAACCCTGATACAAGAGCATACTCCTTTTACTCTCGAGTACATCAGTCATATTCACGTATCGATTATTTTTTTGTTGACTGTTCTCTTAAGTCTAAAGTAACTTCCTCTGAATATCATCCAATTGTCATCTCTGACCATGCACCGCTTAGTGTTGACATTAAACTACTCGATCGACCTCGGTTTTCCTCTCCCTGGAGGTTCAACTCTTCATTTTTAGAAGATGGAAATTTTAAGGCCTTGATACAATCAAAAATTGATGAATACATTGTGTTGAACAAGTGTGACACAGTCTCAAGTTCATTATTATGGGAATCTATGAAAGCTTATCTGCGTGGGCAAATCATCTCCTTCTCTGTTCATTCAAATCGAGCTCGAAGAGCCAAGCTTCAAGAGTTAATGGACAGGATAACAGAGTTAGACAGGCAGATTATACATAATTCAACCCAAAGCCTTCATAAACAACGTCTTGATTTGCAGACAGAATTTGACTTACTTTCCACAACTGATGCCGAACGCCTTTTGTTTCGTACACGTGCAACCTATTATGAACATGGTGATAAACCTAGTAGACTCCTGGCCCACCAATTGAAACGCCAAGCAGCCTCGCGTTCAATATCCCACATTAAGGACGATTCAGGCGCCCTGGTTTCCAATACAAAATCAATAAATTAAGTTTTCAAAGAATATTATTCATCTTTATATCAATCGGAATCAACCGCCAATGCCTCTGATTTGTCGTCTTTTCTTAATAATATTACCACACCCACCGTTGATCCAGCTCTGGCTGAACATTTGGATGCCCCCCTTCGTTTGGAGGAGATCCTACAAGCCATTAGAACTATGCATAATTGCAAGGCACCCGGTCCGGACGGGTTCTCGGCAGAATTCTTTAAAGCATTTGCAGATAAATTAACTCCATTGTTGCTTTCTGTATATAATGAATCATTAGACCAGGGCAAGTTACCCCCTACACTCTCTCAAGCTATTATTATTGTCCTTTTAAAGAAGGATAAAGATCCTACATCCTGTTCCTCATATAGACCTATATCACTTCTTAATGTTGATGTCAAGATCCTTGCTAAAGTTTTAGCGGGTCGATTAGAAACGGTTCTTCCTTCAGTCATTAGTGAGGAACAGAACGGTTTCATTAAAGGTCACCAATTGTTTTACAATGTACGTACACTGCTAAACGTTGTAACTTCAAATCACTCCACCACCAGTCCAGAAGTAGTAATTTCACTAGACGCAGAGAAAGCGTTTGACCGCGTAGAATGGGCATATCTCCTTGCTGTTCTACATAAATTTGGATTTGGAAGGCGCTTTATTTCATGGATCCGATTATTATACAATTCACCCGAAGCTAGTGTCTATACAAACGATACCATTTCTGAATATTTCAACCTATCACGTGGCACTAGGCAAGGGTGCCCCTTGTCTCCACTTCTTTTTGCACTGGCAATAGAGCCTTTATCAATAGCCCTACGTTCACTCCATTGCTTCCAAGGGATCTCCCGCCTTGGTATTAATTTAAAACTGTCACTTTATGCAGACGACTTGCTTTTATATGTCTCTGACCCCACAACAAGTATTCCACATATCACTTCATTATTGAATGAATTTGGTTCATTTTCAGGATATAAAATAAATATTCTTAAAAGCGAATGTTATCCGGTAAATTCTTTAGCCCTTACTCTCCGGCAGACAGATATTCCATTCAAATTTAGCCCCTCAGGATTTAAATATTTAGGAATTAAGATTACTCGCACTTTGACCTCTTTATATGTAGAAAATTACTCCCCATTACTTAAGCAAATTAAACTAGACTTCCAACGATGGAACTCTCTCCCCCTTTCACTTATAGGCCGTATTAATACAGTTAAAATGAATATTTTGCCACGGTTCCTTTTTCTCTTTCAATGTATTCCTATTTTTCTCCCTAAGATTTTTTTTTAAAACTCTTGACGGACTTATTACTTCATTTTTTGGGAGGGGAAGAACCCCAGGGTGAGGAAACAACTTTTACAGAAATTTACATTTAGTGGAGGACTTGCATTGCCTAATTTTTTATATTATTATTGGTCGGCCCATGTCCATAAATTGATATACTGGCTGCACTCAAGTGAACTGCTATGGTGTAGGCTGGAATCCCAGTCATGTACTCTGTCATCATTGGAGGCTCCACTTCCAATTAATCCCATTCGTTTCACAAAAAACCCAATAGTACAGTCCACACTTAAAATATGGTCTCAATACAGAAACCATTTTAAGTTCGTGTCCGCATCCCAATTAATGCCCATTGTAAAAAATCCTCTATTTCAGCCTGGTCTTGCAGATGCTACCTACTTGAGATGGAGAAACTGTGGCATCAAAACCATTAGGGATCTTTTTAAAGAAGGTACACAGCAAAAATGCCGGTGTTAAATTAACACCGGGAGTGTTAATTTTAACACTGAAAAAGTGTCTATATGCGTCCACTTTTTTCAGTGTTAATTTAACACTTTCCTAAGTGTTAAATATAGGTACACTATCTGGTGTTACAAATTAACACCGGCAAACACTCTTTAGTGTTGATAAAACTTAACACTGGTGTAAAGGGTCATAATTTTAGCACCACTCAGTGTTACAAAGATTATACACTAGTGTCAGTGTTACAATAATTAACGCTACCATTTCACATTCAAATGCAGTATATTGAACAATTGCTGGTGTAATGCTTCAAACCTAATTTAACCTTCCACTCAAACCATGTAGCCTACAAAAAAAACAACATTACAATGTAATAAACTTCAAAAAGTTTTATTTTTTGGAGCTCTGCAAGTACAAATGTTTAATTTTGAATTACAACACTGTAAGGCACAATGTATGTTAGCTCAGAATCGTATGCAAACTGACGGTCATATGGCCTGTAGTAAATAAGATCGTCAATACACACTAAAGTGAAACAATAACAGTTTTCCTCGATTGCAAACGCATTTACATGGTCATCAAAATACAATGTTGAGACTTTACATGTGAGAAGATATGCACTGTCATTCAAAATAATTATACTGGTAATCCTGTTGAATAACGGCATCTCATTATGGACCCCGGTACACACGTACATCCCAACCTGATACTCAGTGCCATAATTTTTGACCCAAGAGGTTGTGGAAACAAGATTAGACTCATAGAAAGTGTCACCTAGAGCTTCACTACCCTCCAAATCACAAACAGAGATCTCGTTTATAGAGCCGAATTCAAATCGTTTGAAATTAAAGTTCTCAAAATGAAAAGCCAACTGGTTCTGATGTTTCTTTGCAAGTGTTTTGGTGATGTTTTTAAAGTTCTTCACAGACTTTTTAAAAAAGTTGTGTTTTCCTTCAAACCTCATACACCACATGTGAATGAGTGGCCCAATTTTTCTGATACAACGAGGATAATGGATCATTAGGTGGTGTTTTGGAATCAGATTTCGCTCTGGAAAGAGATCTTTAAAGAGTCTGTGATGATCCATAATCAGATTCTTTAAATAGCAAGTCATACCATGGGTTACACTTGGCGCAAATACAATATTCACAATTTGTATGAGAAGTAGCAGCAAATTCCAGCAGTCATCATTTCGACTAATCAAATCTCCAAAAATTAATGGGGTGTTTCGTAAAAGGCACCAAGACTGAATGGCATTGAGCCCGAGATCTTTGCTATTGTCATCCAATTTTAACACACTTGGTTTGTTTTTTCTTTGAGTGTATCCATAGTTAAAGCTCATAACCCTCTCCAACAATGAATTTGAGGATATGAAGTTCTTTATCAAGTACTGAAACACAATCTTCAACTCATACTGCACCACGCCTTCCAATAGGTCATGCATTATATCAACTGCAAAATTGTTTGTAGTATTGTACAGCTGAAGTGAATTGAGTGGGCAGGTTCTTTTGACACCATAAGTATGAACCAGTGCAGGATTTT